GAACGAACCGTAATCGCCCAAGACTGCCAGGGCCTCGCTCATTGGATGCCGAAAACCTTTAAGCTCCACGTCGCCATCTCCATCGTGAAAGCTGGAGAGCAGAGTGTCAGGAGTGTGTACAAAGCTATACTGGCTTCGCAATAATGCTTGACTCACACCGGCCGTCGATAGCCTGGCAATGCGGCTACATTGGCGAGAGAGAGACACGCGTCAAGAGTAGCTAGACCACTGATGGTGTTACGTCTGCATCAATCGAGGGTCGAAACGGATAAGTACGCGCCCGCTCCTCGTCACAGCAAATCCTCGCGCCAGACATGAGGGCCGCCACACCCACAACTCAGTGTAGTGCCTGGCACACAGTTCACGAACGAAGGTGTCGTATGCTGCATTCGCCTCCTTTTCCAATGTCTCCGTCGCTCGATCTTTCTCCTTGAGAAGCTTGATGGTTTGGGGAGTGTGGAAGCGCACAAACTTCTGCGTAGCAGAGATACGAAGCCATGTCGCCGGCATCTTCTTGGCATCGGCCACCCGGATCTCTAACAGATTCGAGATGTTGCTGACGGTCACGAACTATCAGGGATGGAGATGGGATAGAAAGTGTGTTAGTCTGAGCTTGACCTAGACTCTTGGGACTCTCACTTCTAGACGAGGCATGCGAGTTTCTTTGCGGATCTAAAGGAATTGCTCGCGTCAGCGAGGCAACAATGCGTAGACCGGCAAGGCGAGACTTTGCCCACCTCAAGAAGATGTGAGCGTAACTCAATCTGTCAACGAGTCATCCAGTGGCAATCAGAAAGCTGCACGAGAACAGAACGGCAGTGAGAGGCAATCTGAACGCACGTCGCAGCTCGTGATGAGGTCCTTGCATTCTTGTAGAATCGGAAACCGCTCAGGGTCGACGAATAAGTCTTGTTTGGTGTCTGCTCGCGCTGCCGTGAGCGAGATGGCGTTCGTGGCCTCCTTGACAGCCGAACGTGCTCGCGGCAGTGCAGCAACAGCCTCCGCCAACAGCTTAGATTTGATCCCTAGCTCATCGGCGTCTTGGACTTGCTCAAACTCATGAGAGACTCTCAGGAGTGAGAGAAGCACCGTCGCTAGCTCAGTTGGCTGTGAGCGG